TTCACATTGTCTTCTATCAGTTGGTCTCCGTTTGTTCAAGCAAATCCTGGCTCTGCCTTGACCTCAAGCCTAGTAAGTTTTTTCGTTCTGGATGTAGCTGCTTTATAGTTGGTAGCATTGGATTGTTCATTAAGCTTTGGTAATTTTTGTGAGTTTTTTTAAAAATCTTTTGCTATACCTCAAAAGTTACAGTTTAGATGCTTTAAGGCAGAGGCTCCCCTCCCTTGTTCATGGTATTGTCCCTTTCTGTAATTTTCGTGGCTACTTTCTGCTGGTTCTCCCCCAGCCTCTGGCCCCTTCTTTTCAGCGTTTCTCACATCACCCACTCATGATGCTCTTCCTCTGGTGTGTGCAGCCTCCGGGGCCCTATCCTATACCTTGGCCTCTTTTCAGTCCACCAGTTCTCCTGCTTGATCTCATCTACTCCAACGGCTTTAACTAGCATGCATTCCTGAGGCTGGCTCCCAAATGTGTAATTCTATTCCAAACCTCTCTCTCTGGAGCCATAGGCCTATGTTTTAAATCATTTACTAGGCAATGTCCCCATCTGTACCTCATACTCAACCAACCAAAACCAAAATCATCATTTATCCCCCAAATTGTTCCATCTCCTTTATTCTCTAATATGGTGAATCATACTTCCAATCTCTCAGGTAACCAAGCTAAAAAAAAAATGGTTATATCCATTAGCCTATAGATCCAATTGGTTACTAAGTCCTATTAATTCTACCTTCCGAACATCTTTCAAATATCCTTTTTTTTTTTCCTTAAATCCCTCTTTGTTGCCTCCACCTTGCTTTAGAGCCAATGTTGGTTTAGGTGTTTTAGTTGTAAACAATAAAAATGAACTCTGATTAATGTAAGCAAAGTAATAGGAAGATTTATTTGAAAAGAAATTGAGAAAGCTTACAGAATCGAAGGGAAAACGGAAGAACCGTACTTCATGGAGGACTGGATCTAGGGCAGCTCTGGGGACCTCAGCAGGTGAAGCTTAGTCTTTCTGTCTGGGACACTGCCTATGGTCACTCGGCCACAATCATCTTTTATCTCTTTATGTCTTTATCAAACTTCCAAATTCCCAGTAGAGAGAATCTGCTGGCCATCTTTGAAAAAGTCATTCAAGGCTAGAACACAGGGTGATGGGACAAGTTTGCAAGTACTACAGACCCTTACAATTTCTCTACCCTTTCTCAGTAGTGCCACGGCCATCTCAAAGCCCTCTGCATCTTTCCAATCTATGGTTCTTACTGCCACTATTTTCATATTTCTAAAATGCATATTGTTCGCTGTATCTCCTTACTTAAAATTCCTCAATAGCTTTTCATTATTCTTAGGATAAACTACAAGCTTCAACCAAGGACTTCACTCTAGGATTTGGAGCCTGGCTATCTCTCTAGTCTCATCTCTTGCTATTTTCCTGTTAAATTTTATATTCCAGGCATACTACAGTTACTTGTAATCCCCCTAAACAAGCTATGCTTTGTTTTAGTCTCATATTTTTGCTTAAGTGACTCCCTCTTTTTCAAATACCCATTTTCTCTTCTCTTTACCTGGTTAACTCACACTCGTCTTTCCAGGCTCAGTTTAGGTGTTAGTTCCAAATCTCTCCCAGTCACTTCTCGTCCGGGCTAAGTGCTCTTCCTCTGTGCTCTGATAGCATCCTGAATGGACCTCTAATATAGGCATTGCAATCTGTTGGCATGCAACTCTTTCCTCGTCTCACTTACTGGCTGAAGTTTGAGCTCCTTGAGGTCTATGACTACATCTGATTTATGTTTGGTTTCCATTGCCTAGCTTAGGGCTTAATACATCATAAATGTTCAGTGACTATATTGAAATAAACAAATATTGATTTTGAATGCCTACTCTACAAAGCACTGTGGGGGAAACAAAAAAATACACACACACACACACACACACACACATATACATACATACATACACACACACACACATATATTTCACATTTTTATTTTCAAGGAGCTCACTGCCTAGGAGGCAAACAATACCTTCACATAAGAAAAGTACAAGCAGAACTATAAGATCCTGTATAATTTCATGCACAAAAACCAATGCCTATGGGCCAGAGTTTGGGATTGGAATGATCTGGAAAGTCTTCTCTGAAGAGGAAAGGTCTGAGCAGTAACACGAAGAAAGAAGAAGATTCAAATCGTTTGAAGAGGTTAGGTGAATGTTTTAAGTGTGGAGAGGAAGAGAAAAATGCTCACTGTTTTTGGAGTGTGGCGAAAATTTTGCCTAAGGTAGAGGTTGATTAAAATATGATGAGAAGGTCAGTGTGTGTAGGGAGGTCATAGGTGAGGGAAGAAGAATTGGAGCAGAGTTTGTTTAAGTCTTTGTGCGTTTCATTCTCTGATTCCAACATAGAACACCTCAGCATTCTAGGTTGCTGGTTCATCCCAAATTCCGTGTCTCCTCCAGAATCGAGAAAAGAATAATTAAGGTATTTTCAAAATGGAAAGTTTCCATGCCAGGGAATCTCCTCTTCCTCCCTGAAATAAGTTTCCCTGGTATCCTTGAAGGTATGTATGGTATACCAGCTCTTTCCATTCTTATTTTTGATGTAGTTTATATTGTTCTTGTGATTTTTTAAATCTACCCAGGGTTGCAGACAAGCAGCACAAGACTTGAACCTCCCAATTTGATGGCTCTTATTTATTTTACTTTCCTTATATACATGAACTGGAAAAACTAAATGTGAGAAAAAGATGAAAAGCTCATTCGTCTATTTCCCTGGAAGAGCATTTTCAGAGTTTAGCACAGTCTAGTCATGAACTGCATAAGCATCACAAACCTCTCTTTTCTCTAAACGGTGGGTTCTACATCATTAACTCTTCTCTTTCATTTGTAATTATCAAAAGATATCAACTCCTTGTCCCTCCCTACCAACACACACACACACACACACACACACACACACACACACACACACACACTATCTCTCTCTCTCTCCCTCTCCCTCTCAGCTCCTGAGGCCTACTCTGTGGATGAACATGGTTGTATTGAGATGGGGTGGACATTAAAGGATGTCTACTCCTCCAACTCTCTCCCGTTACTGAACCGTGAATTAATTTTATTTCAGGTCCTTACACAGGTAAATCTTACCACTCTCATGGAATTAGAATGTCACCTTTAAGTCATTTGGTTAACTCTCTCCGTGTTTATAGATGTCCTAGGAAATTGAGGCCCAAAGAGATGAAGTGACTTATCTAATATATTAGCATATTTGTTATTATTGTTTCAGATCTAACAATCACTTCCTCTTCTCTGCCCCCATTTATCAGCTAAATTTAAGTTATCAAGGGCAAGGATCATTGTCTTATGCATTTTCTGCATTCACAACAGCACCCATCAGTCTTCTCTTCTTTCCCATACAGGAGCAAGACAGAGCTGGGCACACAGTGTGTGCTAACGAAAGAATGTTTGGATCAAATTGAATCCTGCAGGAGGTGGACCATTTAGAAGCACTGAGTTTGGCCTCTGAGTGAATACTACTTGCCTTGGGTTGGCCCACCTAGCAGTGAACAGCTATGGGCCAAAGGAGACCTGCCAAGTGTGTAGTCTTCTTTGCCCAACTAAGTTATAAATACCATTGTATATGACCTTATTTTGTAGCCCATAGCACTTTGAACAGTACTAGTCACAGAGAAGGCCGTCATTAAAAATGTTTCAGTCGACTGTTCTCAGATCGAAAACCAGATCTCCATCTGTGTTTCATGCAGCAACTGGAGTAGCTTTGCCAAAAGGAAAGCCCCAAGCTGTCCATGATGGATCCTGCGGAGCTGAAGAAGCCTTTTTTGTGCAGCTCTATCTATGCCTTAAATTGGTCTTGAGGAAAAGTATCTGGGATCTTGTGCTGCCTTTTAGATACTAAAGAATCATTTTGAAAAGTGATACAATAAAAATTATAGTATTATTAAGATACTGTAAGGTAATAGGACATACTAACTTTAAGATGTTAAGTGAGGATGAATTTATTTTGGTTTGGCTACAATGCTGTCACCTGCTCCCCTTGAGACTATTTTTATGACCTGAGATGGAAGTGAGGCATCCTTGGATAGGATTCGATCCTGGATTTGGGGATTATTTGTCCCATGCTATAGCCAGTTTACCTACCAACTACATAGCTCGGCTATTTCCACTTTCCTCATTTTGGTTCTTATTCTTCCACCCTCATTTTTAAAGACAGAGGCCTAGTTGAAGTAGTTGCAGGATCTTACTTAATTTGAGCTAGTTTAACCCCACAATGGAACTATCTCCAAGTAGGAAGCAGGCCACTTATTTTAGTCATTAACTAGGTCTTACTTGTGAGCATCTTTCACTATGTTCAGGAAGTAAATGGGTTTAGTGAGAATCAGTCAAGAAATCTAAAATACTTTATTCCTAAGGATTGCCACTCTGCCCCTTGCCCTCATTTCCCCAGAGGGAACTGGTAGCTGGGTGGAAAATGGGAAAGTATGTGACAGAGCAGAAAATGAGAATATTTGCCATTATTATTTTTACTACTCCACTTTCAGGGAAAAAAAAACAAATGTGGTTGGGAACATAAGAGGGCCAGTAATCCAAGCGTGGTTATTAAGAATTGGAGTTCCTTTGTGAAGCCCCTCTAACTGTATTCTCATGGAATCATCGGTTAATCATTGAAGGCAGAGCCATTTTCATGTGAAGAGTAGGCAGGCTGGCATTCAAAACAGTAGGTGATCTTCAAGGATGTTGTGAGGGTCCAGCTGCCCAAAAGAATTTCCTTAAGTAGCCTACTAGAGCACTTCCTCGAGTCGTCTAAAACCCCTGTATTAGAAGAAATCAACTCATCAGATGTCATCCTGTCTCCAAGAGGTCCCACTTGCCTAACTTGAAACTGAGGTTTTGTTTTCCCCCAATATGCAGACTGAATAAGGAAGCCTATTCTTTACTGCCCATATGTTTTCCAATTAGTGACCACCTAAACTGGACTCTTCTAAGGCTCCCAAACTTTGTTGAAGGAGATCGAGAACGTGCAGAAGGTCAGGCCTCGGAGCAACTGGATGTTCTGCCTCTTTTTCAGGTCTCCACGTGGCAAATCAAAGACTGCAGGAACTCAGCCAGTTACACTTGAGAAAGGCATCTTTGTGGATGATGATGAGGTAAGGAAGAGAATTAGCAAATGTTTATTTGTGATCTTTCTTTAGAGTTGCTTAGGGTACTTTATAAGCTGTGTCTTATAAACTTCCTATTGAAAAACAGAAAAGGGTCAGTATTCATCCAGAGAGAAAGTTTAGCTGACCTAACTTTATGAAAGAGAAACAGGGACGTGGAAAAGAGAAGAGATGGGGACACGCCAGCAATAAATGAGTGAGTGGTAAATCCTGACTGACTTAGAAACCGTGGCTACCTCTTGCAGCAAAAGCTTGGTTGCATCCCCAGGTTTATCGTATTCAAGTACATTTTCCAAGCCAACTTTTATTTTATCAGCCAAGGATACTTAGCCTATTCAACATAACAAAACTGAAAATATATTCCAATTTGGACAATCTTGTGGGTTTAGTCAACTCCTGGACACCGATTTGGAGCAGAGATGTAATACCTCAGAAAACTTTGGGAGTAAAAACAGTTTCCACAGAGACCTTCCCCCCACAATTAATTTTTTTTTTTTTTTTTTACCTATAAAAGTCTTCACATCTTTCTCCCAAATAAATTGTCCTAGACTTCTATGGTTCTAAATATGTGTATTATATATGTCATATCTGTGAAGCAGATTTTTTTACAATATGTTTTTTGTTTGGAGCAATGGGACTTCGGTTTTCCAAAAGATAATACAGATTAAATTATCACATCTTTGGATCTGTCCCACATTTCCTTCCACCCTCCCAAAGGAATGCACGGCGTGGCTCTGCTAGTCGCTCTGCTAGTCTTTCTCCTAGTCCTCCCTCTAGTCCTCCCTCAGCCCCAGGAATTACCAAATCTTGGCATTTTCCTCCAGGAGCGTAATGACGCCTGCCCTCGGCACACAGTTCTGCCCCATTCTAACCACTTCCCTCTTCGCCACTCACCCGCTTGCTTGATTTACTCGTTCAGTGCATGTTTTCTTCCCTCTGTACCCCAGCTTACCATATCACCTCCTGGGGGACATGGCAATCTTTAAAAATGCTGATCCAAGTACAGGATTGTGCTTCCCTCCTCTCGTTCTGATTTCTGGTTATGCCAGGCCAAAAGGAGACAACTTAGAGCTTTTACCTCCTCAAGTTTTCATCCCTTTGACTGATTCACCCTTAGATAACCTAGGGCTAAGCTAGAAGCCGGGCCACAAGCTGGGGTCAGCAGATGGAGATGGAGGTGGCCCAGACCCTCCACCACTAGACACGGCACTCAAAACAGTCTGCCAGTCACCAGCACTACCACCAGTAGAAAAATGCAAAGCGGTAGACAGAAGTGTTACCAAAATTCAGTTACTTTTTTGCAACATTGTGGGAAGAATCATATATTGCACAAAAATGTAAAAATGCAAAATGTTGTTTCTCCCTTCCTCTGGGAGCGTGTCCCCTCCCAGCTCACTGGGCAGTTATGCCAAGCCAGAAGGCCTCCCTTCCACTCCAGCCCTTAAGTTATCACCCTTTTGTAACTTACTTTTCTCCTTAAAGGTTGTCCTCCATGGTGATTTTCACCTGATTTCACTGCTATAGAAATGGAAAAGGCAGAAGGAGGAGGTGTGATCCCTTGGAGTGATCTGTCCCCCCTCTGAACTTTGCTGCTGCCCTTGTCTGCTTTGCCTCCTAACAGTTTTACATGACATTTCATAAAGCTGGTCCAGATTTCCATGAGCAAGTTTCCCTGTCGGGATGTCTCAGAACCTAGCTCTCCTTGCTGTGGCTCTCATTCCAGAAACCCAGGGTGCAAAACACAAGGCCCAGTGTTCACCTCACTTGATTTATATTAGAGAACAGTTTTTAGTAGGGTGAGGTACTAAACCGCTAATTTTGATTATTGTCTCTAGATTTTTGATACAGGCGGGCAATCAAAGTTTGTTCTCAAGAACCTTCAGCATTACACAGTCCATCCAAATCTGGTAGGTGGAAAAAGCATTGCCCCTAGATCCCTAAGAGCAAGTTGCAGCAATGGTGCAGAGGACCCCTGCGGAGTATCCCCACTGCCTCCGAATGCTGCCACTTCTATGACTGCGCATGCTCCTGGGACTGGGAGGCAGAGCTTCCCTAAGACACTGTGACACAGGCAATGCTGGGAATGGTGGTGGCGAAGGAAGAGGGAGGAACTGGGAAGAAAGTGGTCCCCACAGCTGATTTTTTTTTTTTTTTTAGTCGAGAAAACACATTACTAGTTAGGAAGTATTCCATTCTCTCCCTCTCCCTCCCTCTCTGGAATCCTCTGCCTTCCTCCTATTAACAGAAAAGCAAATTTAGTGGGACTGCCCCTTCACCCATCCAACGTCTTAAGTGACCTGCTGTCTTTTGTGACTCCTTTTGCTTTTTAGGGTTGTGCTTATTATGTGGTTGTGCCTGTGGAGAAAAGTTGGAGGGTGGGAAGCCGTAGACCGGGCCATCCTTCCCACCTTCAGAACTCCCTGGCAGAGGCGTTTGGTCCCTGGCTGGCTCTCTGTCCTGCCTCTGAGAGAGCCATGGAGCGGGCCATGGAGGTGTAACTCAGAAACCTCTCTGTTCACTCCACTATGTTGGACACTCTGTCACGTTCTTTTAGGAGAATTAAGTCGTCTTGCCCCTTTTATTGTGAAAATTTTTGTCTCGTTTCCCCAGCTCCTTAATTTATTTGTGGAGAGCCCTCTCAGGGAACAAAGGGCCAAAGAGCTTCAGACTTTTTCTGATAAACACATTTCAGAGCAGATTCATCCAGCCCCTGTCCAGCCTCTGTTCCTACCCCAGAGGGGCAAAAGATTAGCCAACTGATTAGTTAATCTCTTGATCTAATCCCTTTGTCTGTCTGGAAACCTTACTCTGCTTAGGCCCAGTACTATGAACCTTTGAAGCCCACCAAGCTGCAGAAGTTCATGGCTCGCAACAGGAAAATCTTAAGCTTCATGTTTAAAGTCACAGAGTATGATCGGGATAAGACCTTACTGATAATGACCAACAACCCACTTCCCTGCCCAATGGCCCAGGAAGGAAAGGACATCACACCAAAATACTTTTCCAAGGAGTTACTTCTCAAGGTAATGGCACCGGGGGAAGTCTCCTGGTGCCCTAAATAAGGACCCTGACCAATTAGCAGTTAGCTTCAAGAAGGGAGCTAACTTAACGTGGTATTCGGGAGCCAACCTCTTCCTTCTAATTCTTTGCCATATGCTTCAGAGTGGGAAAAGCTTAGGTCATGAAACATCATGAAACAGAGAAAAGAGAGTTTTAATTTGAAATTATTCTCCCTTGGCCAAAGATATTTAGTTTGTAATTAACAAAGGGTAAACTGGCTTTCTAGTTGAGTATAATGTTGTAAAGGATAAATCGAGAAATGAGGGATAAGGAACAGAAATAAGTATCTAAATGGGAAAGGAGTAAAGGGTTTTGCTTTGTACACATTGCTTTCGGCTGTCAGGAGAAAGGAAGAAGAACAAGGCAGAGAATTTACTATTACAGTAGCCGGACATTTGGGACTCCGTTAGGCACTAAAGTAGTTCAAATTCTATTCGATAAACAATCACTGAACATATACTAAGTTAGAACTGAAATATATAGATGATTACAGGACAGTTTCTATCTTGAAGGAACTTGGAGTGTAATAGGAGAAACAAATCAATAAATGAGATGTATAAAAGTAATTATATGAGGATATATGAAATATAAAAGAATATATGATACAGAAGTAATACACAACAAAGAACAGTACCTCTGCTGGGAGAAAGGGAGTGATCAAGAAGGCTTTACATGGATGGATCTCAAGATAATCATGCTAAGCGAAATAAGCCAGACAGAAAAAGTTGAAAATCACATGATATCACTCATATGTGGGATGTAAACCTAAAAGCAACAAATGAGCAGGACAACCAGAGACTCATGGACATGGACTATAGACTAGTGGTTACCAGAGGGTAGGGGGTGGGGGAGAAGCGGGGAGATAGACGGGGCGAAGGGGGTCAAATATAGGGGGTTAGGGGAAGGGTGAAGTGGGTAAAGGGGATCAAATATATGGTAGCTGAAGGAAACTGGACTTTGGGTGGTAAACACAATAGAAGATACAGATGTCAAATTATAATGTATATGTGAAAATTATATAATTGTATTAACCAATGTTACCCCCAACAAACTTAATTTTTAAAAAGTTAAAATAAAAATTAAAAAAAAGGGCTTTACAGAAGAGGCGACCCCTGGCAAAGGAAAAAGAGAATATTCCAGTCAGAAGAAAGGGCAAAGCCATGGGGTCATGAGAAAGTGAGGTGCATTTAGAGAGATGTAAGAGAGTAAATGGCAGGATATGAAAGCATATAATGAAATTTGCATTAATTTAGAAACACCTTTTTTGGAGATTGGGAGAAAGGTACATTATTTGTGAAAGAGATAAAAATCAGAAAGATTTGTTACTATGATAATTAAGGGAAGACATGCTGAAGAACCGAACTAAACTGATAGCAGAGAAAGTGAAGAAAATCAATTTAAGAGATATTTGGGAATCAGGACCTAAAAAAGATCTTGATAACCTTGAGAGAAGGCCAAAATATAATAAGAAATTAGATGAGATGAGTGAAAATACAAACAAAAGAATCTAATTATAGCAGAAATTTGAAGCTGGGAGTGAAATTACCCAAGACAGACCTTTATAATAAAATGTGGTGAATGTGGAATTAGTATTTTGTTAGTTGCTACATGGATGGTAGTGAGAGATTCCTCTCCAAATGGAAGATAAAATGCTAATATCCAAAGGTACATCCTGACAAAGGAGTTAATTGATTTCTTCCCTACAGTCTCTTGGGGCTCAGAATTTATACCCTTTGAATGTAAATTTAGTGGTTGTTCCTCATGACAGTGGGTAAGATTCACTGAGAGAGAGAGACAAATTTTGAGCCAGGATTGCCTCGCTCAAAGTAGAGAAGGAAATACAAGACTATCACGAAACCTTCGTTCAAAAAGAGCTTTCTTCCAACAGCTGGCACTTGTGAGCCTTCCAGATCACATGCAGGACCCAATCATATTAATGTGCAAATTGTGTTACCAGCCAGATTGTATTAATAGAGTTAAGGCTCTGATGGTCAAAGACTGGCACATGGTAACTTTCTGGGGCTACCAACAAGTCCGAAAAGATGGAAACATCCAGTATCTAGAATGCCTCTTTAATTATTCATGCTGTATCCCACCCTTCTCTTGACAATGTGACAATCTTTTGTGAGCCTAAGATCATATACAAAAGAAGCATTCTTTTGCTCAGGCATGTATAGAAGAGTGTGGGTTCCAGCAGGCAACTTGTAGAATGGACCAGACATGTCTAGTACCATAACTGTTAGACTCATAGCTCCTTCTAAATCAAACAGACCCTACCACAGTTCATGAAGAAAAGGATGCCCTAAGAGGTGCTATTTTGTATAACTAAATTTGGTCCTCTACCCCCAGCTGGGACCAGAGGAGCACAGCAGACCCAGTGAAAAAAATATTCACAGGTTAGTTAGAGACCTGTCATGGTCACCCCAAACCCAAACCAACCAACTTACCAACAACCAAACCATGAGCTCTAATCAGATTCTTACCTCCAGGCATCTGAATTTGGAAAGGAAGAGATTGGGGCAGTAGGAATGAAAGCTAAAAGGACACATAGAGAGAGGTCATAAAAGAATCAAACCATGAAGGAGAAGGTAATGGAGAGACCATGAAAGTAGGGCTAGGTTGACGTTAAAGGGAAGTAGGAAGGAACAAGCAGAAGCTATAGATAGAAAAGGTTAGGAGTGAAAACGGTAGAGAGATAAGGAAGCAGGTAGGAAGAGAATAGGAGAGAGATGTTACTGATCTGATGCTAGAGGCAAGATACACAAACCCATGCAGTGGTGGATCTTAGCTAGCGCTGTCTTGGAATCTTAATGACTTTTCCATTGCTGTTTTTCCACTATGAGGTCTAGCTCCCTAACGTTTCTGCTCTTTTTTGTGGCCAGATTGTTAGCTATGTCTTACTTCCTAGGCACATGTGCTCTGTCAGTTTAGGAAATCTCCAAACCTACATGTAGTTATTGGAAGAGTTTATTTGAGCTAACTGAAGACATATGTTGGAGAGCAAGGTCTCAAATGCTCCAGAGAATGACAGTTTTGCAGCTTCTTTTATGCATTTGAAATTAAGGAGGGCAGGTAGGAAGGTTGGAGAAAGCAAGGTGGGGATTGGGTTACAGGACAGTTAACAAGATTATGTGCTCTCTTCAAGGAGAATTACTTCTGGTATTTCAAAAGTGTTAGCCTAGATGCACAAAGATAATGGAGAGGTCTGGCTTAAATCCTTTTACTAAAGAAGTCACAGGCCTGGGACATGACTACCCACCATGACCTGCCCAGTTACGAATTTACAATCAAATCACCCTGTGAGGTTACTTTTTAGAGAACCCCCGTTGTTTTTTTTTTTTTGGTCTACAGTACTTACAGTAAAACTTCTATTAGTTGAGGTAACTTGAATGGATTCCCGTTCCTTAAAACTGGAAGTGCGTGAAAAGAATGAATACAGAACTAAAAAGGCACATTCGGCAGCAAGTATTTTTTTTTTTTAAAGAAGTTTTAATATTTTTAAAGAAAAAGCTCACTATTTGTTAATTAATTAATTTGGTCATTTAGTCAACAAATATTTATTGAGCACCTACTATGTGCCAGGGCACTGTCATGAGTGGTAGGGATCTAATATCAGTGACTAAATCAGTCTGCCCGAATGAAGTTTAAGTCTATCGAGGTAGACAGACCATGAGCAAGCAAACAATTGCACAGATTATATAAAATGTGTTAAGTGCCAAGACAAGGCAGGATAAACTAATGGAGCCTGAAGGGTGTGAGTGGTGATTTTAGATAGTGTAGTTTAGATAGTAGGCTCTCAGAAGAGGTGATGACATTTGAATAGAGAGACTAATGGAGTGACAGGATGTGTCCTGCTGTTGCTACACCTAGCATATTGTTTTCATTTAAGATCACCACACATTAGGAAGAATATAAGCTGTAACTTTTTTAAATGAGTTACAATGAAATAAATCAGGGGAATAGGGAAACGAAAGCTGTGTCATATGAATAAAAGTTCAAAATACTGGCAATGTTGAGCTTGGAAGAGAGATCGAACTTAGGAACGTGTTGGATTTCTCCAAATTCTTTAAGGATTCTGTGGAGGAAACTCTCCATTGTTTTCTGTTTGCACTACAGGGTAGAAGTTACAGGGAGATAGCTATCAGCTGATCAAAGATGAAATAGTTTGAATTTTTAGGTACAGGTAGATTGATTACTTGATAGTGATATATGAGTGTCAGATGAATGGTTAAGCTGGATGACCTTTAAAATCCTCTCAGAAAGTCTTTGAATCTATGACCTTTAGTAATGATGGCATTGTGACCTCATAAAACATCTCATTCCACAGCCTTTTCATGGTAGACAGGGACTAGAATGTGAATGAGAAAGGGAGGTAGAGTCCCAGAGAACTATTTCCCAATTTATTACCCAATGTTTGGTTTTCTAAGCAATTCACTAATTGAATCCTTCTCAAAACTGGGTAAACTCCTCTGCCATTCACTTCAAAGGGCCAGTGGGCAAGTTCAATCAATTACTTCAGAAACTGACCAAGTTTTGGACAAGTCATATGGCAATGAAACAAATATGCATTAGCCCACTCAGGGAACTGCTTCCTTTCCCCTCGGTTTCTGAGTCCCCACATCCCTCTCTGACAGGTTTTGCTGCATCATTTTGGGGAACTGGAGCTTAGTCCAGGAACTTAATTCAGCCTTTAAGTCCCAAGGGACTCAGGCTCCCTCCCTCACTTATTCTTCTTCCCTCTGCTGCAGGAAAGTTATCAGCATAAACCCTCTAAGAAATCCCGCCTACCCCTGAAGCCTCAGAAAAAACAGTTAAGATGTGAACTGAAATCAGTGTTCCCTGTGACAGTGTTGGAAGGCAGCACATCCAAGCGAGAACAGTGGTTTAGGTAACGTCCTGGCTGTTCTTGTTCTCATTCTCTTTCCTATCATTTCCTGTCATTCCTTGTATGACCAACCCGCCAACCTCATTTATACCCTAATGAAAGAGAAAGAGTAATGCAAAGCTAAAGTTTTTCACTGAGACTGATTTTCAAGAGTGAAGATCAATGCTTCGAGGAAACAAGAAAAATTTACCTTAGTACATGGTAAGGGCTATTGCACAGGAACAATGTGTTATGAGATCTTATTTGAAGCTAGTTCTAGAAGCAGCCTGTATCCAGTTTGGAGAGGAGAGAGGAGATTCTGAACTTCTTTCGTAGGTTTACAAGGCTAGGTTCTAGAAGCATCCATTCCACTGAACAGTTCTCTACCCTGTACTAAAGAACACCTGCCATCATTGTCCTTTCTTTTCCCCTGGAATCTGACACGCAGTGACTGGTTTTATTAACCCCTTGCCCTGGGATCTACTAAATGAGCTTTCCTTGTTAAGGTTTTCCACCAATAATGATTTCAAGAGTGAAGGGAAATATTCAACAGACTACATTTTGAGGAAACAGAAAAATATGTATCCTCTGCTCACCTTTGCACCGGTCTTTAAAAGAGATTTGAAGATAGATGGTAAGCTCTTCTTTTTCAAAGCAATGGCTTATGGGACTGAGATGTGAGCAGGAGGGACAATTTATGGGGACAAGAGATGAGGGCAAATCAACATCTCTCATGGAGGTCCTGAAGACCATTTTCCCTTGTAGCATGGAAGGCAGGAACTGATAGAAGCTCGAGTGGTGCTAGACTTTGGACCCTGTTTAAATCTCAAATTTCAAGAAAGTCGTAGCATAGTATTTCCCAAACTATATCACCTACCCATTTTAATCATTTTGGCCATATTGATGTTATTTGCCCTATTATTTACTTAACGTTTTCCTTTAAAAGGATAGTTTTTGTTCTTGTCCTAATTAGTACTGTATCATTGCCATCGTGGGTTTGATATACTAATTACATATTCTTTTTTCTGACATACATTTAATCAAATTCATAATAATTAAAATTTAAAATGTTTATGTATCACCTAAAACTACCCAGTGGTATGCAGAAAGGCCTAAGGAGTCTCAGAGAGGTCCATGAGTCTCTTTGGGGTGGAGGCAGGACTCCACGCACTCTCTGGGGTGGAAGAGGTTGGGGATAAGGTTGTATGGAAGAGTGTGTGACAAGAAAGCTCCTTACAAATTATTCTTTTAACATTTATGGGGCACCTACTAAGTATTGGACACTTACCTAGTACCAATAAGAGCACATTCACTGGGTGAGATAGATAGATGGACCAGACCGTGAAGGTCCTTGTGTATTATGTGAATAAGGGCTTGGTTTTTCTCCACTAGGTAGTTGAGACCCAGTGAAGGATTTCAGAACACTCACTAGACATTTGTGTCTTCGAAGTATAATTGATGAGTTCCCAGACTTCACCAGCTTATAGCTTCAAGACAAGGTCTATTTTTCCTATGGGGATTCTCAGCTCAAGCAACTTCCAAATCTCCCCGAAGTATGCTTACCTGTTCCACATCCCAGTGATTGCCTAATACCTTTCCTGCCATCCTCAGTCCAAACTGTCATGGTTCCAGAGTGTGCGGTCATATTGTATCACCCTTTGACTGGCTTCTTCAGGCTTCTCTGCTCCTCCTGTACCCATTTGCCACCCCACTCCACGCCCACCTGTTACCTCTCTCAACTCCCCACAAACAGCTAAAACCAAGCCGTGTTGTCAAACGACACTTCATAGATGTGGAGAGAAGTTAGATAATGGCAGAGAGTGATTTATCTTGCTTTAAAATTTACGTTATTCTTAGGCTCAGCCTCAAACCCGGCTCAGTTCCTTTATACTTCCCAGCACGTTAATCATTCTTGTGAGTCTCTTGGCTTATCTACACTGTCTCAGCCTAGGCTCGCAATACCCTTGGCCCAAGGAAGGGAAGAGGGTCGCCCCTTCCCCCCAATCTGTTTATTTTCAGCCCCAGAATAAATAAGTAGGAACATCTACAGACAGTTCTCAACTGACTGTGGTTTAACTTAGTTTTTTTGACTTTACGATTGTGTGAAAGCGAAACATATTCAATAGAAAATGGCTAAGCTAAGCTGTGATGATTGGTAGGCTATTAAGTGCAGTTTCAATTTATGATATTTTCAATTTACGATGAGTTTATTGGGATGTAACCCCATTGTAAATTGAAGAGCCTTTGTATTTCCTTTAGGGAAAATTCCATCTGGATAGTAAGGTTTGAGCTTTGTAAGCCAGATAAGTCAAGCATAATAGTTAACAGTACATTTAGTAAAGTTGGAGTTAAATCTTAAATGATCCCATATGTAGGATATTAATAGCTCAGCTTAAATCCATATTGGGGGAAAGAATTTCTCTAGACTCTAATCTAGATTAGGATTTCTGTAATTTTTTAAGGGCCTGACCCTATTAACAATACATCCAATTTACATTTCTAAACAGAATACTTAATATCTCAGTCTACAGCTTTACAGTTTCCCTCAAAAAAAAAAATGAGTGAATATTGACTTTACTGATAAATCTAAAAGGCCCATTATGGTGCTTTTCCTAAACAAAGACAATTTACTGTGAAGTTGAAACAATGCCTCCACTTCAAGCAAAAGAGAAAAGCTTCAAGCAAAAGTTCTATTGCTAGCAACCCCTCCTTCCACCAGTAAAGTTTCAAGTTTACCAGGCATCTAAATAAAGATTACATAGAGAATCTCTATTAATGGGGATCCTGAAAGCTGGTTAGGAAGCTGTCCAAGAGGCACATGATAGGACATGAATTAAGATGTTAGCAGTAGGAATAAGGCAATGGATTCAAGGGACATTTACAAGGCATAAGGCGTCAAAAAAGTGGGAGGGATGGGAGCAAGAAGAGCCCACAATGGAAAGCGTCCAAGAACACTGGTTGAAAGAGAATCTGAACAAAGTGATGACACTGAAGCCAAAGGCAGAAAGAGTTTCTTAGTTACACCCTCAGACGGGAGATGGAAAACCAACATACACTTTAAAGTCTAAGAGGGGAATAAATATACCGGTGAATGCAAATTAACTTAGTAAGAGGTAAGTTATCAATGTGGATGCCGATGGAATCATTTAAAGGGAAGACTCTAAACTGGCAGTGTTTTACACTGGGCTTTAATGAAGGGAAGGAATCCAGAACTAGAAAGAAAGTTGGGTACGGTAGTCCGTGGTCCAAAATCTATCCCCTCGTTAAGAATACAGGCCAGCTTTTCCGTCCTTCCGAGTGGGTCAATTTCACGCCTCAGATTAGGTGTCCTTCTAGAACCTCTGGAAATCCACATTCACCAAGGTGCCCTGTGCTTTGTTGCAGTCTCTAAGAAGTCGGAAAGGGACACGCCGACTTGCAAGATGAACTGGGAACCACTAACCCTTTCATCGCTCATGAAAGAGAAGCCCACCAGAACCGCGCCAGGGGAGAGCGCCTTCCGCAATGGAAGGGCCCAGCAGTGGATTATGAAAAATGCCACTGTCGTTAAAGTAAAAACAAACCCTTCGGGCCTCTCGCCTCGGTCTCCAGAGACTGAGGGGCTTGCAGAAGTCGCCATCCGAGGAGTGTCAACCAAATAAAATCGCATTCAGCCCGCTCCGGGCATGGGCTGCCGGGTCGCTGGCAGGGT